TCGCATAATGAATGTATGGATAGCTGCTGAAGAGATCTTCTTAGAAGGTCTAAAAACAGCGCAAAATCAAGTCAGCTATGTGAGCTAACTTTAAAATAATGACAAATGACTACAAGTCACATTGTCGCTTTAGTAAGAAAGTCCATTGAGATAAATTTTATTGCCGATAGAAAATTGTGTTTGATTTTCATAGCAGTGGTATGTCATTTAAATTATACACAACTATCAGGCATATTCTTAAAATCACCACACATTTCGCTAGTCTAGACTATTGTTGACATTTGCCGATAATATTGATATAATAGGCAAACCCATCGCGTCGGTAAAGAAACACTTTTATAGATTAGAACGTGAAACTCAGAAAGCGGTATTATGCAAAAATGAGGAAATGATAAAGTACATGTGCATCACCAGATCATTGCCAAGATGACATTATAGAGTTAGCCAGAACGTCTCAATAGGCGAGTTCAACTTTAAGAGGGTAAAAAGTTTCAATTACTTGATTGCAACAATAACAGAAGACAATGATACGCAAGAGGGTTAAGAATAAGGATAAGGACAATAAGAATTCTCAGTGAAAATAGATATATGTATGCACCAGACAAAGAACAACGACAAAAGCTATTGAACTTCGTTGTTTCGATAGAAACGTACTTGGAAAGATTACTGAATGTCGTTGCATAAATTTTTAGAATCAGGTCAAGTCTAGAAAACTAGGTTGGGCAGGTGTGATAAGACAACCATAGGAGGAACGGACTAACCTAGTCCACCAAATAAATCAGCAACTCCGAAAACCCCTAGAAGGCCTTTCTGAAATGAATGGATAATATCGCCAATGACCTTAAAATCATGGGATACGAAGTTGATACCGATCTCATGAGAGAACGAATCTGTTGGAGTCAGATAGTATAGTCAGCAAAAACCCACATAGGGTTGTAGAACTACGGAATAAGTTACTAAACTAAACTAAAGTAAGTAGACTAACCTCTCGTAAATTAAAAAACAAAAACAAACACTTCTTCAAATAGTGCACCGATTAAAATTAAAATATTCAAGTTATTTCCAATTTAATTCAAAACTGTTTTATTCAAATTTAAACATATAGCACAATGGCCGGTTAAATTATTTTTCTTCAAAATTCGATAACATGAATTAAAACATAAAGGTCTGAATTTTAATTTAAATATTGAAAATGCAATGTGCAATCATTAATTGATATGCAGAGATTGTTGATTGACTAAAGTTAACAGCATACGGCAATGTTGGCTCTGCTTTATTTCGCCTCTGCTATTGGTCGGGTTATACGAGTACATTATATACAGAGTGTTTCAAAAAGCGTGCTATATTCATATCTACAGGGTGATAAAAAATATATATTTTTTTGATTTATTTCAAATTTATCCAAAACGACTGTCGAAAATCAGTACATAATTAGTTTAAATTAAGGGCTTAAAAATCTTAAAAAAAAGATTTTTAAAACAGTACATGATACAAGATTAAAGAAATCTAAAAACAGGTTTAACAGACACTAAACAGCGGTAAAATATGTACTAGTCTCAATAAGAATTGCTATGTTCGTTTTATATAAACTTGAAATAATTCAAAAAATAAAACCTTTACCACTCTGCAGCTGCGAAACGAATCAAAATCGGAATCAAGTTAAGTTTTTGTTTCCACGTGAGGAATTTCCAGCTTTTTCACATGTTTTTTGAAACACCCTATATATTATCAAGAAAGCACGCTTGCCTGATAATATTTAGAAAGGTAAAATAAAAATAATACAGAGTGTGTGAATTTTGTAGTAGATGAGAAAATTCGCGATTCTAAAACACAGTTCAACGCGAACACAAATTCGAAGATCTGTAAATTAAGGAACAACACATTGTTTCCCAAGTAAAGCATGTACTCGTATCTCTAACGCATGCCTTTTCTTTATCTTGACATCACCATCTCATTTAGACTACAAATTTGCTACGCCGTGTCCCGGCAGATGAGCACCTTACCTCAGGGAAATATCCGACAAAGCGGAGATCTTATCTTTTCTTATGGCGCCTTAAAGCAAAATTTTTGGTGTTGACGAAGCCAATTATTTCATAGTTTGTTATTTAAATGTGTAGAATAGATATATTTTTTATGATTTCTCACTTAAGCGTATTTAAAAATGTTAATATTATTGTTGAGTGCTAAACGCTAACATGGGATATTTCGTTTCATTAAACATGTTAAAAAGAAACATAAGATTATTCAGATTTTGACAACAATATGCTTTTGTTTTATGGCAGCTGTTTTGGTTAACTCGACTTGCTACAACCCTTAATGACGCTTACTGTCATTCCAGCTATTTAAGTTTAATAAACTTTAGTAATTTAGATCTACTTTGCTTCCCTGCATAGCTTTTAATAAGTTCAATTTTCTACTTCTTGGTGCCGTATGTAATATTTTAAAATTTTCCCCAAAATTATTTTTCAGAATTTAAGTGAGTAGCGTAATCAGATACTAAGCTCTTATTTTTGTATGCTCTCTTATGATGTTACGTTTTTTAAAGGAGCTACCTAGCTGTTTGTCTAATATATAGAATATTGAGCTTTTTCTACCTTCGATTTGTTGTTTTTTAAGTATTTTAAATCTCTTATACCACCTTTTGACAGATGCTTAGATGCTTTCTTAGTTTATTTTCCAATGTATGTAACCATGGGTTCAACAGCCAACTTAGGGTACATAAAGTTCGGGATTATTTGATGCTGTATTTTTGGTTCTGATTTTGCCTATGGCAGACGGGTTTTAATCATTGTTAAATATATTTTTATTATTTTTAATTCCTTTTTAAAATTTTTGTTTGCTAGAAGTGGTATATTAAATCGTATGTGGGTGAAAATGAAACGCAGCATTTTTTTTGCGTAAGGGTGATTTGAACTATTATCTACGACTGTGTCTATATGTGAAGGTTTATGGTAAATGGAAAAATCCCATTTGCTTTGTATGCGGTTGTCTCAAAAAAAGTTCAAAAAGCAGCTTACTTGTCTACCGATTCCAATAAAAGTTTAATTAAATGTAACAAAAAATGTGTCTTCTTATTTAACACAATAATCATCAAGTTTGATATATGCTATTTTAGTCACGATTTTCATTTGGCACTAGCGAAGCGTCAGACGTCAAAATATTATGATAAAAATCTACCGAAAACATCCGATCACTCCCAAACCTATGACCAAATTACTGACAATTTCCAAAGTTTGTCGCGACCATAGGTAAAGAAATTGACGTTTTGAAGTGAAGCTTTGTGCACGCTAGATGATTAAGAGTTAGGAATTAAAAAAATACATTTAGTCAAATTATTTATTTTCAGCTGTGTCAAAATCCATTAATAAATAATGGATATATTATTGGACTTCACATTTTCTTCTGGCGTCCTAGTAAATATTTTGTTTTTGTTTTAACAGATACATAATATTTTATTTAAAAACCACCTAGCATATCATCTTCATTTGAAAATAATTTTGACTCATATACCCAAATAACTGCTAGATCCCCAAACAAAGCTTAAACAATGATGGTTTTTGTATAAAGATCTATAAAAGTGCTTGAAAAAATAGGTTACCAAAGTTAACCAACTTTTATTGCTGAATTTTTGCATTTCTCTAAATTATCTATTATATGATTATGAAATACATATATATGTAATGAAATACAACTCACAGTATAACAATCTTATATGCAAGCCTCTTTCTATTGCCGATTGTCTTTTGTACTTTTTAGAATTACAATTTCTTTATTTTTTTTATTTTTTAACTTCTCCACTGCCACATTTATGGGTATATTTAGTACAATAGTTGTGGTTTAAAAAGAATATAGTTCGCACAACACTTAGAATCGATAAGGTTATTTACTATTTTATAAACACAAAGTATAATAAATAATAATAAAAATATTTAAAAACGTCTGGACTTCAATGATTGCAAACGATAACAGTAAAAATTCTCATTTTATGAGCGTCTATTTAAACGAAAATTAAGTGCATTAATGAATTTTTGACATTCTCGATTCGAAACACGTAATTGTGGTACATCAAACTGCAAACTATTGACGAATACTCCAATACACTTCTTACCAGAGTGCAATATACTTTCAATAAAGAACAGATCCTGGTGCAGTGCTTTCCCAATGATAGCCTCTACATGGGACAAATGTCTAGAGTCCAGAATAACGCCTTTTTCTTTAATAACGTTAATACCTTTTAATTGCATATTGTTTAATTTTAAGTTGATATTTGGATTTCTTAAGAAAAAGCCCTGTAGTGACATCATATAAAAGTAAAACAAAAAGCAAGGGACCCAAGCGTGAACCCAGCCGAACCCAGTAGTCCCATACAAGCAAGAAGATCTTATTCCATTAACAATAAATAATTATTTAAACGGAAGGCTAGAAGTCTAGATAATGAGTTTCGCCAAAGATTTTGGAGGGATCGGTGGTAGGTTCTCTAAATGACAGATACAAGATTAATAGGAATAGAGTTCGGCAACCTTGCATTTTTCATTTTGTTGAAAAATTTCCTACGTTTTACGGTTTACGTAAGGAGAAGATCTCAATATCAAGGTATCCACGAGGGCGCAACCCCTTATTGTATCCAGATTTTATAGTTTGTATAGTTTTAAGTGTCTTCTGCAAACTCCGTCTCACAACTAGGTATCTTAAGTATACATTGCCTCGCATAACGTCTATGAATCGTACTTTATTAATTTAGGTGATTATCATTTCATTTATTGTGCACCTTGATGATGATGTTCACATAGACACTAAGTTTGTTGGAAAGTGCATGTGCATGTTTGCAAATGCAGGGAGTTCAATTTTTCATTTTCCTCATATTCGCAATCCGGCAACACAGACACAGTGTTCCGAAGAAGAAAGGTTTTATGAACGGCTGCGGAGTCGATTAAGACAGCTTCCTAAACGTTTACAGTATCACTAATTACAAAAGATATGCAAAATTCTATGGCTTTTAATTAAGATTTTCGTGGATGATTACAATAAAAATGTTAAGTCGCCGACTTCAAACGACCGAATTTTGCCTGAGGTGGTCCGTTCTAATTTTCTTGAAGCGATTCTCGTCGTCAGTTAAGAATCGCTTAACGAGCAGTCTTGATTTTTAGACTGCTTATTTTTGTCTTGGTTATTTCATCGTATAACGTGTTTCGGCATTTATCAGTTTTTTTGTACTTTTATGTATTCTACCAGGCCCCAAATTAGCATTTCTGATCTGAAAAAAAAAACTTTTATAAACAAACGAATTTGTTGAAGGAAGAATTTAGAACTATGTTCATGCATGTTATCAAAACTGATACGGGTTTTCTTCCATTTTTTTTTATTTCTGCCAACCGGTGATTGGCATACGTTCGATTATTTTATAAATTATCTGAATCTTTCGTTGTTTTTTAAATATATTTGTTCGATTAAAAAGCTACTTAGGTTTCATAATTATAATAATATTCTTCATTTCCACCAAAATTATACTAATTACAAGAAAACGTCACGGGGACATCACTTGGACTAGCGTAATTAAACATTTGTGAACATTTGCAGGTAACAAATAATAAAAAAAAAGATTACATTATAAAATAGCAAAAATGTATACCTAAATAACAAAAATCAGGCAAACGGGAATATACGTACTATTAAAATTCAAAATCAAAAAATTAAAAACAATTGTTCATGATTTTGTATAGGATCAGTTCTCGTTTAAGCTTTTCTCTGTTTTCAGTTCTAACTATGGCGCTAAACAATCATTTGTATGGCTTTATCGCCCGATAAAACTCGAAGAAAAGTCAGTTGTTGTTATAGAAACCAAGATTAAAATTTAATAGCTTTATAAAAGACACTATAATAACGAGTTTGATTAAGCAACGAACATTACAGCATGTGTTGTAGCCGTAGTGTCGTTTATGAAATCTACATACTAGCACTGGAAACTCACATGAGTTAATCAATTCTGGTTATTACACCTTATTAAAACAAAATTTCATATGTTTCATAAATAACAATCACAGCATAGCACGTCAACACAGTTCGTCCCCTCAAAAAGAACTGGCTACTCTGCGCTTCTTCGCCGACCTCGTTTACGACAATTGGCAATAAAAGGCGCTCCGTACGTCTCTACACACAGTACACCCCGACCAATTTTTAAACCATCACACAATGAAGCCACGATGTAATCTCGGAAATGTCATTTTTAATTCCTACACCGAAACTAATCCTTCAAGGCTCACTGGTAAATGCATAATTAACTAAACGTAGGTTCGTTGCAACATGAAAGCAATTGACGCCAACAAAAAAGTACTGGAATGAATGCAAAACATTTAAAAGAACATGATAAAGAGAAGAAAACTAAAATACCTTGGTCCATATTATGAGAAACGAATGTAAATATTGCCTTTTAAAATCTGTTCTCTAATGTAAAGACTATGGTAAAAGAGGACCAGGAAAAAAAAAAGAATATCATTCCGAAATTCCGAGACAAAGAGAGATTAGAGAAAGGGTCCCAAGACACTTGCGACACATCATCATCCACCGATAAAAACCTTGACTTGTTACCATGGTAAAACACAGCTTCCGCTCGAGAACTAAGAAAAATAAACATAAGTTGTCAGCTTGGACAGAAATGCTGAGTAATCTGAAAGCAATATTTTATAATTAAGTGTATGAAAAGCTTTACTAAAGTCGAGATGCAAAGAGATTGTTATTTTGTCTGTTCCACCCACAGTATTGTTGTTAATGCCGTGGAGCAATTATAATGCTTAGGGAAGCTCGATTGATGAACTGGCATAATAAGATATTTTTGTACCTGTGACTGAATTTGCTGCTCTTTGATTTTTTCTAGGATTTTAGATAGAGTGGGCAGAAAAAACGGCATACATAAATTAAGGGTCAAAATTCAACCCCAAATCTGATCAAGTGTCAAATACGTTTGTGACAAAGAGTCTTTAACTTTTACAGGGTATCTAGAGTCCTAAGCTTAACCTTGAATTAAAACTGTTGAATAAATTTCTTTAAAAATATTTGCGTGACAATAGTTTAGAAAAGACACTATTTTATAAACGGATTTTTTAATGAAAAATGCATGTTCTCCTGTTTCTGTTCTTCTGAGTTTACTACTATACTTTGAGAGGTGAACTTTCTTTTAAAATTTTATTTTGGTTTATATATTCTTTTGGTTAATACAATTTTTTTGAAACGCCTATTAGTTCTCAGCTTCTTATGAATCCCAAGATACAATGTGACCCTCACGTAAGATTAAAAATTAATGCTTATTTTCCTCATTTTAATTTTCCCAAGGCAACGAAAGTTGCAGGTCGTGATAGAGTAATTTAATTTGGGATCAAGAAGCATTTACGATTTCGTATTTTTAAGTAATTAAAGTTCAAAGGTCACAATGGGTCAGAAATCAAAAGCGCTTTCTCGCTAATATTCCAATGTCTACACCGGTCGTTTGGTCTACGTATTCAAAAACAGATTCTCTCGCATGATAAAACCCTTTCTCGACGTTATTCACTTTTCCGGTTTATCTATCCTCCTTTCGAATAGATATTTCATACCCACGAGATTTTCATAAAGTAAACGTCCTGGAGTGAGAAAGCCTTGCGTTTACATTTTAATAAATAATGGTCATTCTTTTCAAAATTTCCCCTGATACTTGTCCTTAATAATACCACTCGAAGCGTCTCCTTTACAATGTATATCTCCAGTTTTCGTAATCATCCCTTTCGCCATTACTATTAGTAGCGCAGTAATGTTAACGAAAGACATTTTTTATTGAAATCATAATCAACCGGTTAAAGGTGATTTGATTGTAAGTGGAAAGTGTTACGCGTTTCATTACTATCACGAAATGCTTGTATTAAAAACTGTCCATCGATGTTGTGATTGGAAACACCCACTAACACTATTTTAGTACGAGTGACAAGCTTTTTCAGAGGTCCTTCCATCCCTGATGTTGGACATACAGATAGGAGATATATGGGGAAGATACATTGGCAACTCGAATGTTGTCATTTACTTTTGAACTTAAAATTAATAATATATATGTTATTCTACTAAAAAGACATATAACAGTTTAACGTTAATCGGTTAATGCAGAATGAAAATTTTTATTTAGGCTCATCAAAAATACTTTTAATTTATAGACAATTATAGTAATATTTTTGACGAGCCTGAAATTTATTACTGGCCCAAAATAAAAATAAATAAAAATTTTTTGACATAATTTTTGTCATGTTAATTTATGTTATGTTTATCAATGTAAAAACATCATTGACAATAATCAAAAATTAAAACCACCAGTATAATTTGATAAATAATTATTAATTTCTGACGCAGTGACTTCTAATTTTATCAAAAAACTTTTTTAAACGATCTTGATTAATATTTCTAGGTCGTAAAAATTTAATACCTCCTTCGAATAATTTTTCAAGTAAAAGTCGAAATACAGAATAGGGCGATGTGGAAAGAACTGACATTCTCATAAGAAATTCTTTACCATGTTTCGACGTAGACTGGTGGACAGGTTCCGTTTCAGTTGACCTCGATTCTTGATATTTTGATCGGTCAAAGTCAACGTCCGAAGTCAACAGAAGTGTCATAGTCAGTTATTTTAAATAGAAAAATCCAAAAAGCCGATGTCGTATGCTATGAGGTTTGTCCTATGTTTGAAAAACGCCGACTAGCGAAAATCGGGAAAAGTATGATAAATCGAACCCCAAAAAGTGCGAAGCATTGAAGGTCGAGAGCTCCGGTCTTAGTCGCCTTTCTATATGCTGTTGACTCTTTTAAGCATTTATTTTGTCCCATTCGGGCAATACACAGAAACCGATTTACCATAATTGGTATGCGTAAATTTCCTTTACAAAAATAGTTTCTCTCACTGAGCTAAACGAAGAAACACGAAACAAGCCTGGAAATAATAACAGAACATGAAATGTTAAGAAGCAAACTACAACAGTCGAAGGTCTTTAGACCCGAATCAGGGTCAACAGTTCGTCAGAAGAAAGACTTAACCAATTCGCCACTAATCTAGAATATTAGCTTTAATTTTTCAAAGAAACGTCTTACAGATTATTGTAATAATATTTACAAATCTTTTGGATTCCTACTGTGTTCAACAGCGGTTGATGAATCGAACGGAACCCAACAGGATGATTGATGAAACCTCAGCAAGTCCGATTCATCGACAACCGACGCAGGAGGAATTAAGAAGATTCGCAAATATTATATTAGCCCTACTTCCCATTTCATATTGTGATGCTTCAAATAGTTCACCAAGGATGGAAAGCGTATAATTTAGATGATTAAAACCTAAGTCTTGCTACTCGCGGTCGCGAGCGAATTGGCAATGCAGAAAAATTTCAACGTGTTTACGATAAGAACCAAATTTATCGACTATTATTATTGACTAGTATTACTCCTGCCAGGATTAAACTTCACCATCGAAATCCATGAAAACTTAAACAGTGACCTCAAGCGTATACTTACGGCCCATGTGGATGTCCATTACCGTACATACATCACTGAAAAATTCTGTCTGATGGATGAGAATATTCAGATTGTTAATGGGGCGAAAAACCTACGCATTGTTTTCGATAGCGCGCTGTAGATATAAAAATATCAACCACCAAAAACAAAGTATTATCTCTGTTACAGCTTATGAGAAATACACAGTGAACTGCTAAAATATCAGCCATCGGATTTCAAGAAAAATGCTCGCACGCGTCAATCATAATTTTTTGTTGTGCATTTTTTGTAATAAATAAAAAGTATACAAGGTGGGTCAAAAAGTAGATATCGATACCAAGTCCCTTTTTTAATGGAACACCATTTATTTAAATTTAATGTGGCGTATCCTATACCTATCTCTTACTTTTGTAAGCAAAACAATAAAAAACATGAGTTTAATTTTCAAATCACCAGGTAAATTGTATTTTTTTTTCTTAATTTTTCTCACTGAGCGTTGAAACATTGAACAAATTACAGACTTCCTCAGTGCTCGTTTTGTCTTCACAGCCAATAAAAATTCAGATCGCAATTTTCTGGATTTCATTTTGGTATGCCATATTTACTTTCTTTACTGAAAGAAATGTAATTGTAACAATTTAAGCACTTTAATGGTACTTTACTGCTCATTTAAAAAATGGATTTCCGGTTTGTATTCTTTTGCTCACAAAAAGTAAGAGGTAGGTATGGGTTATGCTACATAAATAATACGCGAAATTTGAAACGGATTTAAAAAGTGTTCCATTTAAAAAAATAACTTGTGATGGACATTTACTTTTCGACCCTGCATGTTCTCTATTTATTGCAAAAAATGAGCATGAAAAATTACGTTATACGTGTTCGAACACCTGATGTTTGAATGAATTTGTTCTATATTTTAGAATTCTTTATAGAAGTCATATCAGATACTGCATCAATCAACAGTTAATTTTAAGTATGATAAATTGGAGAAAGAATTAGCAAAACATGCCAGCCATCGTCAAATTCTAAAACCAATCGAATACATCCACAGCAGAAGAAATTTAGGAAAATTAAAAATTTGGAATGACTGCTTTTAGCAAAATTTTATTTTGCTAGAAAAATTTGTCGTCTTCATAATCGGCGGCACTTGTAATCATGCTCTCGTTAGAGATAATGCAATTCTTCAAGTACTTGCTTTTTTTGTAGACACCGTTTATATCGTTAACTAAACAGTGTATAGTATTATTCCGGGTGTTGTTAACTGAATTCGAGAAAAGTGGGACAGTAGATCAACTCAGGGAGGATTGCTAAACAACGTTGAATGCAATAAGGAAATGAAATTGGTCGTGTTCATTAATTATGGACTCATGATGAATAATAAAAATAATAGAGATATGCAAGGGCATTATTAAAAGTATCAAACCAATGGTGATAGTTATAGTTATAAATATTTTCTATTGCCTTAAGCTTTAAGGAAAACTTTCGCATTTCACAGAAGTAAAGGATTCCTCTAGTAAAACTTCGAAGAATGAAGTAAATATTTAAGCATAGACGTACCTAAAGATATTCGATTTACTAATTCTAGATTACAAGAATATTGTCTGGATGAGTTGAAGATAATCAAACTTTTTTTTGATTGTAATAGGTAATGCATATTTTATATTATAAAAAGTCGTAAGCTCAATTGAAATGAAAAATGAATTAATGTAAATATTAATATTATCCATCATTCAGTGCGCAATGTGCCTCAATGAGTAGAAGTCAATCAAATATTTTCAAGTTGGCGCCATAGATTGATGAATTTTGACCACTTTTTTCTTTTTTTTTTAATTGGTTTATTAAATATTGGTAGTAGTTCTGGGCAACGCAATTTTTTTGTTATATACCATATACAGGGTGTCCCATAAGTAATGGTACGTGACAAAATAGGAGATTCTTTATGTAAAAATATTACGATTTCAGGAAACTTACCTTAGTCGAAAAGTTGATATTGACCGAGATACAGTTCATTTCATTTCATATTTTGGCAAAGTGGGGTTTTTTGACATGGGAAATCCATACTTGTGAATATTTTGTTGAATATTATAGAGGACACTACGAACGGTACTTTTCGTGCAATTGATATTTCCTAACTTTTTTACGCCATGATGTATGAAGATTTTGCTTAAAGATATCACTTCTCACAAGTTTTTTATACAAAAATGGTATACACGTTTTGAATTTCACTCCGAGTGACTGTTTTAGACAAATTGGGGTTTGAAATTTTCGTTACGCCTAATTGAACAGTTTCATGTGAACATGCAGTTCAAAGTATGCTTCGACTAACATAATTCCAAAACATCACTTGTTTTCCGATACGCGACATCATATACGCACAAGAGAATTATAACGGTTGTCGAGAATATTTATTGTTGCAAACGCAATTTTTGCAAACGCAATTCGCCAATTCTATGGTTAAGAACAATGATTTTCAAGACATGTTAAAGACTACCTAAATAACCGATTTCCTTATCGTTGGTTTAGTCTTGGTAGTGGAACACCTTGGCCGTCCATTACAGCAGATTTCAATCCTATTGATTTTTATGTTTGAGGGTATAGGAAGTATTTATTGTATGAAAAATTAGTTCATACTCGGGGTGAATTATGACTCATTTCGAAACGTGGGAATATTATTTAAAATCAATTTATCAAAATCAAAAATTTATTAGAGGATAGAAAGGTTTTTTCATGAATAGTTTTTTTACTTTACTTTAGTTTGAAAATTGTTTTCCTTGACGACTATGTTAATGTCAGGAATTATTTAAAAAAAAATAATAATGAAGTTGCAACGTTGACACCCTCTATCTTGGTTCATATGAACTTTTGGACTAAGGTAAGTTTCGCTTTTTACAAAACTTCTAGATTCCTCCTGCGTCGGTTTTTGCTTAGTCGAAATTGTTGACGAACTGTTTCAGTCAAGCTCTGAAGAAGCCAACAGTATGATTGGCGAAACGTCAGCAATTTCGACTAATCAAAAACCGACGCAGGACGAATCCAGAAATTTTGTAAAAAGCATTACAGTAACCTGTGGAAGTTTCTTTGAAAAATTAAGGTAAGTTTCGTTAAATCTTAATAATTTTACCTAAATAATATCTTACTTTGCCATGTACAATCGTTAGATCAATTACAATTAATTAATTACCCACTTATCAATTCGATTCGTTCCCTGAAGTTAACCGAACTTCGTTTCCAAAAGATCAACGAGCACGTTAACACCCGATTTTATGTGCACAGTTTGCTCATTAATTAAAATTAACGCAATTTGGCGAAAACCACGCTATCGTTAATAATGCAGTGAAATAAAATTTCATGGATATTTACTCTAATTTCAATCGATGCATAATACATTTTTAACGTGATGGTGCCGCGTGCATGTAACAGCAACGCATTATTTGATTGTCATTATTTCGCACGTTCGATTGCTTACGGCACTGGCAGCCAGTGCACCTACATATTCACAATTCAGCTGACTGATGGTACCTAGCTCAATTGCAGACCCCCTTTTTTAGTTCTAAATATAAAAAAACGTCTATCATTTCACAAAAAAAAGGTTTGGTACCTATTAAGACTATACTTATTGGGTAACCAACCTGAGTCTGAATCTCAATTCAAAAAATCATTGAAAGTACTGGAACATTCAACTTTAGCTGACTTACCGAGTTGGGTACGGTTAATCGGAAGGTTTTCCACTAAGGACGCTAGCATTGGTACTCTATCTCTTTACCGCAGATGAAATCAGTTGAGTATCTAGACTTGCCCAAGTAGAATTTTCCTATCTTATAACAACATTTTTACCTATCTCGGTGTTGGATTTGGTTGTGTCATGTTAACGTTAACTTATACGTTAATGATACGTAAATAATAATAATAATAATAATAATAATAATAATAATAATAATAATAATAATAATAATAATAATTGGATAAGTGTGCCAAACTTATAGCTCATAAAGGTATACCAAAAACTTATGATAAGCTGGAATCTGAAACCGAAATAACGTATCTTAACAACGCGTATTATAAATATCTAGGATATGAGCAGAATCTTAATATTAATCAGAACAACGCTAAGGCTAATATAGAAACTAAACTGCAAAACAGGGTGATAAAAATATTAAAAACGGAACTAAACGGAAAAAACAAAATTAAAGCTGTAAACACATGGGCGGTACCGGTAATCACGTACACGTTTGGTATATTAAAATGGTCTAACACTGACTTGGAGAGGCTGAACAGGAAAATAAGGACCCTCATGACAGAGCATAGAATTCACCATCCTAAGGCATGCACTGAAAGGCTATACTTACCAAGATCGACGGGCGGAAGAGGATTGGCTGACCTCAACATACTGCATAGGCGTCAAGTAAATCAGTTAAAGAAGTTCTTCCACCGTAAAAAAGATACTTCAACGTTCCATAAGCTCGCTTGTCAGTCGGATAGATACTCAGCTGTAGATCTCAGAAAAAATGAAATAAAAGAGATACCAACACTTGATGAGGTAAAAGAGAAGTGGTTGAGTAAGCCCCTTCATGGAAAATATCCAGCTAGTTTAAAAACTGCTGGGAGCGAATCAACAAATTGGTTAGTTAAGGGGCAGCTATTCGCTGAAACTGAAGGATTTATCACAACTATTCATGATGGAAGCATAGCGACTAGGAATTATAAGAAGTATATCCAAAAGATCAGAATAGATGATGATAAATGTCGTATGTGTGGACGGGTGCCAGAGACCATCGAACATGTAATAGCAGGATGTCAAACGCTAGCTCCGTCTGAATACACCAAAAGGCACAATTTAACAGCAAATATTGTACACCAAGAACTAGCAATGCTATGGAACCTAGGAGAGGGAAAATACAGTCCATATTTTAAATACATACCTGCTCCAGTTCTTGAGAACGAAAATTATCGGCTATACTGGGATACACCTATAGTAACAGATAAACCAATAGCCAGCAATAGACCAGACATTATTCTGCTGGATAAGGCTAATAAAAAGGCGTATTTCATCGACGGCTCACATCCCTCGGACCACAACCTGGAACAGAAAGAGAGAGAAAAAATTAATAAGTATTACGACTTGGCAGAGGAATATAAAAAAATACTCACCCTAAAAGCAGTACATGTTATCCCTGTAATTATATCGGCCACTGGGCTAGTTACCAAGAAGCTTGCAGGATACCTGGAAAGACTGAATATAACGAATAAAACCATCGTTACAAAAATGCAAAAGTCCGTAATACTTGAAACTTGCAAAATCGTCCGAAAGACCCTGAATATCCCGGAGACATAAACCTTCCCCCCCCCAACTTTAGTGACTGGTTAATAAACCCCACTAAAGCTGCTACCCTAATAAGGAGAAAAAATAATAATAATAATAATAATAATAATCTTTATTGAGAATTGTATAAAAAAGTATAAAATACTAATATCTCAAAGGGCGAAATCTAGCTGATTAAGTCAGCAATTGAACATTATCAATACAATTTGTAACAAGATTGTGATGTGATGGATTAAAAATTGGTGGGAGTATACCGTGTGGAGGTGATGTGCGGAGTGCCCTCTATTGCCAAATGTCGGAGACGAAGTCGGCGAAGGAGCGCGGAGTGGCCAGTTCCTTTTTAGGGGACAAATTGTGTTGATGTGCTATTGATTGTATTGTTCGATTTCGATCTGCTGGACCAGAGTCGGTACGACCGGTCCATGCAATTTGTACTTCTCTGTTTTTCACGTATAGTAATACACTCCGTTAGTATAGTATAGTGTGCGTATTGTTTTCGACACTTCTGAATCCGGTGTGCTTCGGTAGAAACACATCCATTACAGTAACTATAGAAATAATTCTGTGATTAATTAAAAAACCAAAAACCCATTCGGAACTTTATTTATCTAACAACACGCCTTTAATGTTCTTTCGAAACGTTTTAAAGATGATAAGGCAAAGAAATATCTATGCCGATTAAAAGTTTTTGCCGCATTACAGGTAAACCCGCGCTCGTAAAGAGGAGATATGTGTTGAGGCACGGTTAGCGTATTCTCCCTAATATGTATTTACATTGTAGGTTTCACAGCGAAAAATTAGCTTATCTTTTAAATAGGGAGGGCTAGAAGATCTTGTATATTAACATAGCGAAATAGGTACTCAAATAAATTGTCTATTCTCAACCCAAGCAACAATTTTATTTTAGAGGACAAGTGGTCATATTTCCATAAGCTATACATAAATCTACAGCAGTTGTTTTGTATTTTTCAATGAGTTTTAAACATGTGTAAAACAATATGAAGCAATATAATAATGCAGACATAAAATATGACTCAATACATGCTTATTGGCATATAGAGTCTTAAGCAAAAGGTAAGTTCTTTTACTTAAATTTGAAATGTGCTCACTAAATCTTAATGGCACGTCCACCGTTACTCCTAAATTTTTGGCTTTGATACCAAGTGACAAGGGTTCCCCATTTATCTCAAAATACCAGTATCTTTTCAGGAAGTGCACTAACCAAGAGTAGCACCTGAATTTTAGCCGCATTTAACCTTAAAGCATGTCTCTCACTTTAAGTAACAATCTACAGCAGATCGAAATTAATATCTGCTTCGACTTCATCATAATAGAACGGATCAAAAATATAAACAAGTTGGGTATCGTCAGCATATGATTGAGATAGGCAAAACTGCGGCGCGGTACCCAAATCAAATACAGAAAAAATAAATAAATATATATATATATATATATATATATATATATATATATATATATATATATATATATATATATATATATATATATATATATATATATATATATATATATATATATATATATATATATATATATATATATATATATATATATATATATATATATATATATATATATATATATATATATATATATATATATATATATATATATATATATATATATATATATATATATATATATACCAAGAAGTTATTGTTCTACTTTTCTTCGCGGTATTAAAGTCTTGAGCTTAACTGGCCAGGTATACCCGCCAGCGCCGATAGGCGCATGCTCCGCTAAAAATCACGGTGAAACACTAAATCGGTCGCTCTCATCCTGTGGTTCAAAAAGTGCCGTTGAACGGTGGTGATCAACAAATTTCCTCATCACCCGAGGCACAGAGGGCGCAGCACGGGCCGGCCACTCCGGAAGGAGGACCAAAAGCGAGGTAGGGTCAGTTAAGTTAAGTAACCAAAAATCTTTTGATCCTATTTCGAGTAATTTTTGCGACTTCTTGCTGTGCCAGCTGCGGCCAAAGTCCGTTTCCGCGCCGACAAAACAAGTTCAACCAGTGTCATAGGCCACATCAAGAGTTGCAATTTTTGTATTTTCATCTATCACATACGCTGCTCGAGAAATTTGAAAAAATGTATGAGACTGTCGCTATACCTTGCACTTAATCGAGACACGATGACGTCATTTATTATTACGGAGTTCTGCATCGTTTCAGAAAACAAGTCTTTTCTCGAAAACTATTGACTTTATTGGAAAAATTCATACTCCAGCGAACGTGGGAGATCCCAGGGCTATAACACCTGTTTCAAAAAATGTTTGAGTTATATACAGGGTATGTCGTTTATGGGCAAGAAATCTAAAATTTCCTAAAAATTTCTGTTTTTTTGGGTAAATTATTATAGATGGGATAATTTGATTTGAACAGTATCGTCGAAAGAGAAATCCAGTTTTGGTCTATAATACAGGGTGCTCGAGTTATTTGTTTTGTTTTTTGTTATTTTGTTTTTTTTTTCTAGATTACACTTTATTTTTGGTAGGAAATAAATATAAATTATTTCAGGATATGTGGTATTCACCTGGTTTATTTTTAAAAGTAATGATGAACTTCACGGGTTCAGTCACTGATTTCCGTAATTGCTACATTTATGCGACCTAATATATGCTACTTTTTCTCTGAATAAATGTTATTTATTATTTATTTATTATTATTATTATTATTATTACTTTTCAGAAAACATCTTGGCGCCTTATAAACATTTATGCGAAATTTAACTCTTCTATAGCAAACGTCAAATCGAATCAAACTTGAGCGGTAAATTATTTACGAATTAACCTAAAATTTAACCAGTGCGAGCGAAAATAAATGCAACAGTTATTGAAATGATAATTGACGGTTTATGCCAGCGCGAACAAAAACAAACACGATATAAATCATTCCTCTTATTAGCGCTATTAATAATGTGTAAATTGTGAGGATGAGGTTTTTGCTGACCTGGCCCCTTAAAGGGCTTTTAGGGACGGAGATATAAACGCATCATTTGACTTTATGGCCCGGCTACAATACAGATAAACATGAAAATTTATGTGCATGTGTGCCGCGGGAGCCGAAACACTGTTTATGCGACATCCGAGTGAGATTTTGTCATATCACGCCTGTTCGTTTTGATTGGTATATATGACCTGCTTATCTAGGCTCAGTTTTTCGAAACTAATTCTTGAAACAATTCAGCAGCAGATTGCTTCAGAGAAAGGGTTGACTGTTTTAATCGCCCCCACCGGAGGCTAATATCATTCCGCATAAAGCAACTTATAAATTCGTTATCCGAAACTAGTCTTCTGCGCGCCAATCTTGTTATTTGTTGCCTATTAGACTCGGTTGAAATTAAGGTCGATTTTCGAACCTGGAACTTTCGAAACTGCAGACAGTTTCCTAAAATAACGTTTTCCACTAACACAAAAATAGAATAACTTTACATTGACGCCTGAAATGTTTTCAGCGATAATGAGATATAAAGAAACCCAATGAACTTGTATCACATTTTTGCCTTTTAAAAAATTTTGACTATACCGATAGAGTAAAGTAAATGTTTGACACTCTCCAATTATTAGTGTCAAAATAATATATACTTAAAATTGCTTTTAAATAAACACATCGCGTCATAATATATGGCGCAAAAAAGGACGGTTTTTTAAATACGTATTTTGTATTTCGTTTTCTTTATGTTTTTTGTTCTTGTTTTGTTTTGTTTGTTATTTGTTACAATACACCTTCTATGTTAGATAATATAATGTATAAATTTGATCATTTGGAATTATTCGAAGGTACAATTTAATATTCTCGTGACGTTAAAAAAGACAGCTCTTTGTACAAGGTAAATATAATTATTGGTCCATATTTGTCCTAGCTTTTTGCAGTCGATACTTTGTTTTCTGTGATAAGGCCAATAGCTTTAAATTTTCCACTAACAGACGGCCATGAAAAAATAAATGTGGGGCGGCATTCATAGTGACCAAATCATCGACTTTTTTTTATGGATATTTGTCAGGTATGTGGAGAAATGCCTCAGCTACTTGACATAAGTTGGCGGCTTGATATTCCCCTAGATTTCTTTATGGGGATTCATAAAAGGCCGATTGTATGTCAAAAAAACCATCAGATTGTCTCTTTATCTTGTAGTGATCCCCTTTTTGTTTTCAAAAGAAATTCCCAACCTCTAACAATGGATAAATATGTACATTGAACATTTATTAAGACGTGCTAGATATGTTTTAGTCACTTCTTTGTTTTTTTTATAATAAGGCAATTACCTAGTTTTAAGTTTTTATTACGCACTAGTAGTCACCAAAAATAAATATAAAGAACATGTCAAAAATAATGTGTTAGCAAATGCATTAAATGGTCTACAAATCATCTACTTATATTTCGTGACATAACATAACAATAAACATTTCCTACCTGAAAAAATACCTCAGTTACTTGTGTTGATTTTGAGACTTGATTCCCCTAAATTTGTTGATGTGGGATTCATAAAGGACCATATATATTATGGTCCGTTACGTAAAACAAAAGAAGAAAGTTTGTAATTCATAATAAATTTATTTTACGTTTCCATCGGTGTATTCGGTCTTCTCCAAAAATATCTAAAAAATTGACAGGGTTTTATACAAGGCAACGAGAACGAGAACAATAAATCTTACCCTAATTTTAAAATCGATGTAAAAATAAAAACATTTAGATACAACACACGATGGCACGATTTAAAATTGTAGAAATAAAACTGCAGTTTGTATGCGCATGTCTGCGAATCTATCGTGCGGATTGAGATATCAAGTGGCATGCGAAGCAGAACTACGAAAGTACGTTTTTTTCCGGCGATGTTATTTACCAGACTGAAATATACATATTTTTATTTTTTTTTTATCTGCGGATAGACCTTCGGGAAGATATTAAAAAAAAAATAGTGGGTTGTTTAATTCGAAGTTTCTTAGCTCCTCCGGGAGACAAAATATTGGTCAAAAAAATGTCAATTTTTTGAAA